GCCCAGTTTCGGCCCTGCTCCGGCAAGGGTCTTGGTACTCCTTTGCTTCGTAACACGTGGTGATGATGTTTTTCGCACAATTCATGGCCTAACCAAAACACAAAGTTTCAAGTGCAAGTTTGACATTTGCATCCAGCTGATTTGTATGCAATTCGTTTCCTGATAGGTTTTCATGGTTTGCTTCAATCATAGGCTTTAGCATCGGTGCATGCTTGAAACCAGGAGATTCCCCACGGCCCATTTTGTGGTGGACATCGCTCAGGGGCTGAGTGCAAGCCTCCTCCGCCTGGTTGTGAAAACGGCCAATGGCGCCGGAATTGCGGCAGGGCAACCAATCCTGGTGGATGGAGGATCTGGGTACGTGGCAAAGAAGGTGGACGACGATGAGCCATCTTCAAAGCGCTTTCGTGGCGCCCTGGACAAGTTCTTTGGAGCAAATGGATCAGAGGTACCAGCCCCTAAAGGTCCACCTGCAGCCCCGAAGCCTCCGCCTCCTCAGAAGGCCGCTCAGGCCGAGAAGGCTCTTCCTGTCGAGAAGGCCGCTCCTGCCGGGAAGGCCGCTCCTGCCGAGAAAGCCCTTCCTCCAGCCAAAGCGCCTTCTTTGCCACCTCCGACTGAAGCAGTGCCTGCGAAAGCCAGCGAGCCTTCAGCCAAAGCCCCTGCACCAAAAGCTGCTGCAGCAAAGGTGCCCCCTCCAGAACAGCCTCTCGCTGATCAGACCAGCAAAGTGTCCATTGCAACGTTGACGAAGCCTTTGCAGATGGAGGCGTGGAAGATTGGCGTGGAAGATGCACTTGCACCAAGCTAGTAGTAGGAATAGTAATGAGTAGGGCTCAAATTAGGAAAGACCGTTTTAATTTTGAGAGGCCATGAGCTTCATGGAAACTGACCATGGCTCATATAGTTTCATGTTTGGTCCTGGGGCCTTAGCTGCAAACAGTTGCACTCCCTGCAGCGGAGGTGTTCTTCCAGGATGGAAGTGTGCACATCAAGTCCAACGAGGAGAGCAACAGACGTGTGGCAGGCGGCACTGTCTTGAAGACGTTTGTTGGCGGCTCCTTCGGCACAACCCAAGATGCCCTCCCGGCTGATGCAGTGCCATATGAGACTTGCTTGCGTTTGAACCTGGTTGGGTTTCCTGCGTCTTTAGATTGGAAAAGCATGTATGTAGTTTTCAAGATAGAGTATGTTGGACAGGCTGTTTTTGCAAAGTCTGCCAAGGCATCATAGAGCTTATGTTGATTTACACGTTGGGCTTCCAGTGGCCGCTGTTAGAGCTGTGTTGGTTGGTGTTGGGCCAAAGTTGGCTTTTGTTGGGGTTCCTTTTGGCAGTTTCGGGGTCTTCAAAATCCGTTGATGTAACCCCAATGCCCCCAACATAGACCAAGTTGTGGCCCCAGATGGCACAATAACAACTGAAAAATTGCCCATAAATCGAGTCCAACCCAAACAAGTTCGGTTGGACTTGTTCCCCACCTGCCAGGTGAGGGTTGTTAGATTTTATCAGAGTTGTTCTCCTCCTCCTCCTCCTCCTCCTTGGCTAGCTGTCCTCCTCCTCCTCCTCGTCCTCCTCCTCCTCTAGTTTCTCCTCGACCATGTCTGCATCAACTTCCACCTCCACTTCCGCCTCGCCAACTCTTCGCCAAGCTCTTTGCCAACTCTCTTCGCCAGGCCAAGCTCTTTGACAACTTCCCAGCTCAGTGTGCACTGGGACCTCAACCTGGGACCTGCCCAGCTCAGTGTGCACCGCTGGACCTCAACCTGGGACCTTCCCAGCTCAGTGTGCACCGCTGGACCTCAACCTGGGACCTTCCCAGCTCAGTGTGCACCGCTGGACCTCAACCTGGGACCGTCTCAGCTCAGTGTGCACCGCTGGACCTCAACCTGGGACCTTCCCAGCTCAGTGTGCACTGCTGGACCTCAACGGGCAGATAGAATGCCAGAAGATATGCCAGATAGAATGTCAGATGGAATGCCAGAAGATATGCCAGATCAAATTCCATGAGATACGCCAAATAGAATGCCAGAAGATTTGCCAGATAATATGCCAGAAGATATGCCAGAAGATATGCCAGAACACATGCCAGAACATATGCCAGAAGATATGCCAGATAGAATGCCGGATCGAATGCCAGAAGATATGTGAGATAGAATGCCAGAAGATATGCCAGATAGAATGCCAGAAGATTTGCCAGATAGAATGCCAGAAGGTCTGCCAGAAGATATGCCAGAACATATGCCAGAAGAGGTGCCAGATAGAATGCCAGATAGAATGCCAGAAGATATGCCAGATCGAATGCCAGAAGATATGCCACATAGATTGGCAGAAAGTGTGCCAGAAGATATGCCAGATATAATGCCAGAAGATATGCCAGATAGAATGCCAGAAGATATGCCAGATAAAATGCCATGAGATATGCCAGATAGAATGCCAGAAGCTATGCCAGATAGAATGCCAGAAGATATGCCAGATAAAATGCCATGAAGTTGAGTTGACTATGTGTATCAGATGCTTTGAACATATCATGCTAACCAATACAAACTTATAACATCAAAATCATGCACGCGTGCTCAAACACTGTACAGAAACCTACTAGAATACCAAATAGTTTGATGTTAGCTTTGTTTAATTACAGTGGTGCCCACTTGATTTGTTTTTACTGTTCCAAGATCCAGGGGCTGCTGCGGTTGTGCCAGTATTGCTACCGCTTCTTTGGCCCTATTTCGCTGCAGACAGATATGTGACCTTCAGAGCATTTCCGAATAGACTTAGACAGCGACTTTGTGATGGTTTGCGCGGATGTTCCTGTGGAGCTGGGGAATATGTCGCCACACTTGGCAGAAGAAATGCTTGTGGTGGAAGATATGCCAATATTAAAACGTATAAATGTCATGGTGGGGATCACTCGAAGTGAAGTAATT